GCGAAAGATCCCTCGCTCCCTCTCCCACTGGATCTACCCAGTGTCGAATGAGGTTCTTGTTTTAGCATAAAGAACATTTCCAGTTGCACTGGTAAAAGGACACAGTTATGAAATAAGATTAGTGGGAGCGTCAAATGTAATTGTGAAATCTTCAGTGTTCACCCAATTCCGCATCTCTAGCAGATAGCGATTTGCATTTCGCAAGATCTCACCTTCTCATGGCCGGTTCTGTACCAGGCGGTCGACCATTGCTAGTACTGCACAATGAACTTCTCACCTATATTGCGGTCGATCCGTTATCTGATGTCAATGTAATCTTCGCATATTCGCAAAGGTTGTTAAACAGCTTATTGATAGAAAAAATCTGACTTATTATGAAAAATTTGTTATGAATTTTGCTGTTATGAGAAGAAAAATTTGCTAAAAATGGGGCTTCCTTTTCAATAGCCTTTGTTGTGATTTTTAGATAAATATTTAGTTTATTCACCAGTGAAGAGATACATATATAATTTGCACTTTTCGGATAAAAAAACAAAAAAAAATTGCAAAATTAACGCACATATTTACAGCATTTCTGGTAAATATAGGTCATAGTTTGAAATTTCTAATAGTTTCGACAAATCTCGAAAAAAAGAGAGATATTAGCGCAATTTTGATTTTTTTTTTTGCGCTGAAAACATCAAAAAAAGACGGTTGACGTCACAGTGCGAGGAAGTGAAACTTGATGCATGGGATGTTTCGCTGTGATTGTTGTATCGCGACCTTAAAATCTTATTTATATAATTATGCACTAACTGAAGTTATGCAGCGTAAAGTAAGATAAGGACAAAAATGCAAAAGAGTTGGCGAGATTACCAGAACAGAGTTAAATAGTAAGTGACTTTGGATCCCGGAAATGGGGAGGATTGTTTCTATAACTCAGTGCTCAAAGATCACTAAAGTTGTAGAACTTTAACGGAGGTGGGGTATCCAAAGGTTGAACCGAGGACCAGGGGTATTGCATCACAGTGACGCAGTTGTTCCTCACGCCATTTCTAACAAAAAACCATGAATCATTATTTGACACACTACGTGACAGATGAAGTAGGAGGAAGTTACTTGTCAGTGAATTATATTCGCAAAAAATTAGCTGAACTTTGAAGAGATTACATGCATGCATGCATATTAGAAGCAGCGAGCAGAAACTTTTGTTATCATTTTGGCAGTTTCGTTATCGAATAAGAATGTGTTTTTCAGTTCAGCAAGGCTATATAAAATTGCGCATTGGTTTGAAGGTGCTGACAATAAGGCCAAATTACTGGCCACTTACACGCTGAAACTTTCGGGGAATGTTCATGCAATGACGTTATTACCGGGTGAATTTCTGTATGTGGCAAGCACGGATGCCGTATCGCAATATCTCCTGACGCATTGCTCGTACTATGAT